GAGAGAGAGAGAGAGAGAGAGAGAGAGAGAGAGAGAGAGAGAGAGAGAGAGAGAGAGAGGAGGAGTAATAGAATGTGTGTGTGTGTGAGAGAGAGAGAATGTGTGTGTGAAAATGTGTGTGTGTGAAAAAGAGAGAATGTGTGTGAGAGTGTGTGCATGAGAGAGAGAATGTGTGTGAAAGAGTGTGTGTTACAGAGAGTGTGTGTGTGAGAGTGTGTGTGCATGAGAGAATTTGTGTGTGAGAGTGTGTGTGTGTGTGTGAAAGCATATGTGTGTAAGAGACAGAGTATGTGTGTCTGTATGTGAGAGAGTTTGTGTGTGTGTATGAGAGAAAGAGTGAGAGAATGTGTTGGTGTGAGAGAATGTGTGTGTGTGTGTGTGTGCGCGCGCGCGCTATGAGAAGTTAAGGGTGCCTGTGAGGTCCCCGTGTTATTGTCAGTGTCCCTGCAGGGACCTGGGGAGCCAATGCTGCGCATGGGGCAGGAGAGCTGAGGAAATCCTGACCCCAGAGTGAGGGCAGGACTGGAGAAGAGCTTGAGGTTTCTGTGAATTTGGTGTCACTTAGCCCTGGTGGCCCCAGAGGAGCGGAGAGATGGGAGAAGGCAGTTGCTGGAAATGGAGGGGACTTGGCTTAGGGTGAATGGGAGGCAGGTGAGGAGGGGGGATGCAGGAGTCCGTGGTTGGGTGAAGGTTTACATTTACTTGCCAAATGCTGTTACCATGTGAAGAATTCTCTTTTATCTCTGGGGTTCTCACTGTTTTTGAAGTGATTTTATGGATTCTCTGGATAGTGAGATTCCGAAAACATTGTTGATTTATTTTGTTTACACTTTGCTTCCGTTCATGACTTTCCATGTTAAGAATTTTAGCATTATATTTAATGTAATATTGTTAGTAACAATTTAGCATCAATATTAAATAAGTCCTTTAGCAGTTTTGTAACAATGTTTTCCCTCAAGCATTCCTTGAGGGGAGAGGGAAATGGTTGTGGATGATGTGAGGAGGCTGGTCACACACTTCCTTGACATACGCCATTTTTAATCCAGTAGGCCCTGACATAAAAGAGTGCGAGGTTTGTTTCCATAGCATTTTACTGAAAATCAAATATCAGACTTTTTGTTTGAATGGGCTGTGGGATGACCTCTGATCTTTTTGAGGCTTACTTTACTTCTAAATTTCCTAATGTTTCCTGCCTTGTTCCTTTGCTTTCCTAGGACATGGATTTTGACATATTTGAAATGGTGGTGAAACTGGATTTTGAGTTACAATTTTGTTACTTAAATAACAATGTTGCTATTTTTATATTTTAAGTGGTTGAACATTAACTCTATGTGGTTATTACACAATTTACCTCACATTCCTCTTGGTTACATCTTTTTTTAAAACTGTCAAATACAGTCCTCCCTGGGTGTGTTAGCTTTCTGTCATGGTGACAAAACACCTGCCAAAAACAAAAAAGTTTTTTGTGAAAAGTATTGTGTCATGCATGAAGTTCACATGTTATGAAACTCAGACTCTGTCATGACCACAGATACCAGATAAAAGTTATTTTGTCTCATAGTCTCAGAGGTTTCAGTCCTTGTTCCCTTGATTACCTTGCTTTGGGCCTGTGGCTATGGCTACACAGTGGAGTCAGAAGGACATGGCAGGGGGGCGGGGGGTAGGCTACTTACTTCATGAGGACTACAAACCAAAGGGGGAGGAGTGGCCAGAGTCCCAATATCCCCTTAAAGGACATGGCCCCAATGATGGAACTTCCTTTCAATAGGCCCTACCTCCTAAAAATTCTACTGACTCCCAGTAGTGCCCCAGACTAGTGACAAGGCCTTAACACATGGCCTTTTGGGAGCATTTAATACAAATCATGACATTAGGTATGGAGGAGAGGGTAATTTAGTTCTAGGATCTCAGTGGATACGGAAATATGTGAATGTCAAAGTCCTTTATACCAAATGACCTAGTAACTGCTTATAATTTATGCATATCTTCCTGTGTACTTGAAAGAACCTAGATTACTTGTAATACCAAATGTAAATGCTTGGTAAATAGTTGTA